TAAAGCCCTTTCAGTCAAGCCTCTTTTTGACTAATGTTCTTATATGTAGAGTTGGCTGACTATTTAACAGTCATTAAAAGTGGGATAATGGCACCAAATACAATTTATAGAAATGCTAACTATATCAGTGCACCATCCAAGACTTCATATTATTTTTAATTTCTGGAACCTCCCACCTCACCCCTCACTCCTCTGCTCTTGGCAGCCTTTGTGAGGTTGAGGATGAGACCCAGGGCTTTGGGTAGGCATAGCATAGCAAGCACTGTATCTTGTCTCTAAGAGACATCCCAGCACTTGATTTTTTTTTTTAATTTGAAAGCTTGTCTTAATATTTTAACCTCTTTTAATGCCAGCTAGAAAACACATGATTAGTAAATATTAGTGTGGGGATTCATTCAGAGGCTGTTTTAGTTCAGAATTTGTAAGCATGAAGGAATTATTATTTTAAAGAAAGACTTAAGAGAATATACTTAAGCATCAATTGCATTGCCAAATAAGCTATCTCATTTTTTGTTTGTTTGTTTGTTTTTCAAGAGAAGATTTCTCTGTGTAATAGCCCTGGCTGTCTTGGAACTCACTTTGTAGACCAGGCTGGTGTTTGCCACCACTGCCCAGCTGATAATTTGATTTGATAATCATCAATGCAGAGAACATTGCGTCACATAAATATATAATGCATACCAAGAGAAGTATATGTAGGATTATTTCAAAAATTGTTGGAATTTTTTTCCTAATGTCAAACCAAAATTAATTTAACTTTTTAAAAATATGAAACTGAATTCAACAATTCAAACAGCAATTTGCATGCAAGCATTCTAACACAGTACAGTCCAAAGATAGAGTAACTGGATGCTTATATGCTGAAGAATTGCTGTATGAAGATATTAGCATTCTTTGTTTTCTGTAGTCAAGCCATTATTAATATTTCTATAAGAGCAGAAAATTTTGCATGTCCTGTAAAAACACTGCAGTCATGACATAAAATAGTCATGAATACGAGCCAAGGTGTTTTAGGCAGTATTAGCTGGGGTTTTGTGGGTATGAGGGCATATGAAATGCAACGTGCACATATACTGTGGTCGAGGCTACATTGGAACAGTACTAGTGAGTGTAGCCAGAAACACTTAGGATTCATTACCCATTATTTTCAATTTTTAGTCTTTGTTCAGAAACCTTTTAATGTTTCCAATATAATGTTGTAACACATAGTTTAAGAAACTGGAATCTAGACAACTGCTCACCCAGGAAGTCCTCCTCAGTTATTTGTTTTAATTTGCATAAAAGGAATGTGAACCCTAAAGTGTAAAGGCTAAAATGAATGTAAAGTGTGTCATAGCACACATGGATGCCGTGCTTGCTATGTCAAGTTGACTTAGGCTAGAGACATATCTGGGAAGAGGGAATCTTCATTGAGAAAATGTCTCTACAAGATTGGCCTATAGGCAAGTCTGCAGGGTATTTTCTTTTTTGGTTTTTTGAGACAGGGTCTCACCATAAAACCTTGGTTGCCTTGGAACTCATAAAACAGTGTACCACTACCCACCACCACTACCCACCAAAACAAAACAATCCAGGCTGGCCTGGAACTCATGGAGATCTGCCTGCCTTTGCCTCCAGAGTTATGGGATTAAAAGAATGTGCCACCACTCTTGGCTAGGGCTCTTTTTAATTTAGTAGTTCATGCGGGAGGGCAAAGCCCATTGTGGGTGCTGTCACCTCTGGGCAGGAGGTCCTGGGGCATATGAGGAAGTGACCGAACAAAACAGTAAGCAGCACTCCTCTCTAGCTTTTGCATTAACTCCTGCCTCCATGGTCCTGCCCTTACTTCTTTTAGTGGAGGACTGTGTGATGTGGACTTATAAACCCTTTCCTTCTCAGCTTGTTGTTTTTGGTCATGGTCTTTATTACAGCATTTGAAATCCTAACTGAGACAGACACTTTTCTTTGGATAGTGCATTATTTAGTTCTCTTCTCATACTAACTCATTGGAAGAGAATTTTCAAATAATGTTAGTGTATCCAACACAGCATTAGACTAACATGGTTCAACAAAAATGTCAAAGGCAGCGTCATACCCTGTAAGCAATGTCTTTTTTTTTTTTTTTCAATACAGGGTTTCTCTTTGTAGCCTTGGTACCTTGGCTGTACAGGAACTCATTCTGTAGACCAGGTCGACCAGTGAACTCACAGAGATCCGCCTGCCTCTGCCCTCAAGTGCTGGGATTAATGGTGTGCGCCAGCCACCATCACCCCGCCTCAAAATGTTATCAGAAATAATCCAGGTTGATTTGGAACTACTGGACTCAGTCTGGCCTCCTGTCTCAGCCTTTACGTAGCTGAGACTACAGATTGCATGGGTCATCAGGCCAGGCTTGAGTGATTTGTTTTTGTTTTTATTTTATTTTTTTTAGGCAGGGTTTCTGTGTATTGCTTTGGAACCTGTCCTAGAACTTGCTCTGTAGACCATCTTTGTGTGTGTGTGTTTTGTGTATTATTTTGGAGACAGGGTCTCTATGTAGCCTACCACTGCCTCCTGAATGCTGGGAGATCTAATTTTATACAACTTTACCTATTTAGATCATGAATGACCAGGAGTAATTGGATTACTTGTCTTATAGTCTTTGTTAATTCATATTGTCACTGCCAGCTATTAACTCTTCCTTGGGCTTCACTTTCATGTTGTCCTGCCCCAATAGATATGGTGATGTTTCCAATCTCTGGCCACCGTATCCCAGCACAGGATGCTGCTTTGTACTGCCAGTGCCCACAAGCTTGAGACTGTTGTTTATGACCATAAGATATGGCTATGCTTGTCTTAACAATTTCTTTCTTTCTTTTTTTCTTTTTTTCTTTTTTTTTTTTTTTTGTCATTGGCTAATGGTATTGACTTGGTCTAAGTCAGAACTAGAAAAGCAAAACTGGGTTAGTGGTGGTGCATGCATTTAATCCTAGCACTCCAGAGGCAGAGGCAGCTGGATGTATCTCTGAGTTCGAGGCCAGCCTGGGCTACAGAATGAGTTCTAGGACAGCCAGGGCTGTAACACAGAGAAACCCTGTCTGGGGGGGGGGGTGCAAACAAGCTAACAAACAAACAAACACATTTAGGGGCTGGAGACATGGCTCAGGGTTTAAGAGCATTGGCTGCTCTTCCAGAGGTTCTGGGTTTAATTCCCAGCAACCATATGGTAGCCCACAACCCCACAACCATCTATAATAGGATCTTATGCCCTCTTCTGGCATGCAGCCATGCATGCAGAACACTCATACATAAAATATAAATAAAAAATATGGGTTGGAGAGATGGCTCAGAGGTTAAGAGCACTGACTGCACTTCCAGAGGTTCTGAGTTCAATTCCCAGCAATCACATGGTGGATCACAACCATCTATAATGAGATCTGGTGCCCTCTTCTAGTGTGCAGGCAGAACACTGTATACATAATAAAATCTTTAAAAAAATAATAAACTTTAAAAAAAAGTAAAACTGGGTTAGGAAATGGACAGAGAATCTGTGGTTTAGAAAAGAGTTGGAAATAGCTCAGAATAGAAAATATACTAAGGAAAATGAATTCACTCTTTCATTCACTTAGTCTTTCATGACTATTTCTCCAGTTCTTGTTTGCATTGTTCTTTTAAATAGAATCTTACTCTGAAGAACTTATTAAGTAGCCCCCTTTAGCCTAGAACTTGCAGCAATCCTCCTGCTATAGGTTCCAAAATGCTAAGATTATAGGCATGTTCTGTTGAGCAATTCTACCTTCCACGTTTTTAGTGCAACACACTTTTCAGGGAACACAAGGTCTAGTAAAAAGCCAACCACAAAGGTATTTATTTAGATCCTACTATATACAACTTTGTGTAAAGTATTTTAAAACTTTTATTAGTGTGGGTGCATACTTGTTACAGTGCCTGTGTGGAAATGAAAGGGCAACCTTTAGGAGTCACTTCTCTCCTACCGTGGGATTGGGAGATGAAATTCAGGTCATCAGGTTTATGCAGGAAGCACTTTTGTCCACTGAGCTATCTTACCAACTTCAAAGTAATTTTTATATCTACTGTACTCTGGCCCCTTAAAAAATGTTCTATGGCCAGTCGGTGGTAGTGCACACCTTTAATCCTAGCACTTGGGAGACAGAAGCAGGATCTCTGTGAGCTAGAGGCCAGCCTAGTCTACACAGCTAGTTCCAGGATAGCCAGTTATACACAGAGAAACCCTATCTCAAAAACAACAACAAAAAAAGTTCTAGGATAATTTATCTCTATTTTATATAAGATGAAACTGGGGCTTAGAAAAATGTGTGCAGTTCATTTGAAGTATCACATAGTGAGTGGTGACAGTGTATTGAGAAATGAAGAGTTATGGTTAATCTGTTTTCTGGTGTAGGTAGGGCAAAATAAAGTCTTTTTAGGACAGCCAAAAGTGCTGATCTGACACTTCAGGGAGAAAGCAGAGTTTCAAGGCAGTGTCTTGAGAATTATTCCTGAAAAGTTGATGAAGCTGAAGGAGCAGATCTTTAGGCAAGAGAATGGAAGTAAAAAAAAAAAAACTGAGAGAGAACCATATCTTGAGAGTGATTAAAAGTTGTTGCTATGCTGAGGGCTTTTAAAGCATCCAACAAAGGGCAAACATAGATTCAAGGGCAACCTGTGATTCAGATAATTCTCCGCTTGGGTTCACCATGTCTTTGGAAAACTGCCGGGCCATCTGATAGCCAGAAGGAAAGTGCCTTTAGATGTGTCTTTTGGGGAAGTATGTCTTGTGGTGTCTCTGAGCCCTTAGTATCTTTAAAACACTAGATAAGCCTGACACTCTCAGTCAAAGTTCTCTTTCCTCAGTGAAAAACCCAGAGAATCTGTGGTTTTGATCTTTCCTAGGAACTCAAGTTTTAGATTTTTCTGTGCTGGATTTGGCAAGAATATGAAAATCATTTTGTAAAACTCCAGTCCTATATAACTAAGAGAAGAGTGGCTTGTAATATACTTTTTATATTGTGAAAAAATGTGTTTTGAATGTTTCTTTTAGTCTCTCAAGATGTCTATCAAAGAATCTTGTGGGAAAGGAGAAAAGTCTCAGAAAAAAGAGATCACCTCTTCACCAACTTTCATTGAAGTAAGAATTTTAATTTGCTGACCTAATGATTCCTCTTTTTTAAAATTGTGTAATGAAAAAGAAGCACCTTAATTTTACAATGACATTTAAAAATTTTGTTTTGTTTATCAGTCCCAAGGGAAAGTCATTTGCTTTCAGTTCTTGGCATTATTTAACTTATTGCAAATCTGTAAGGTAGTTACTTTTATTATCCAAATCACAGAAAGGAAATTGAAGCTTAGAAAGTTGTTTTCTCTATATGTGTTCTCCTCAAGACTGGCAATGGTTTCTATGTTGCTAACTATATCAGTTAACTCTGATAGCTGTCTTCCTTGACATCCTAGCAGTGATTGCTGTAATTGGTTATGCTTTTTCCCTGAAATACTTTCCTGACTTGACTTCTGAGGTATGTTTCTTTGTTAAATATATATATATATATATATATATATATATATATATATATATATCCTTAAACATTATCTTTTTTTTTTTATTTCTATTTTTTTTTATTGGG